TGCACTAGACTAATACCATCTGGTCATTTAAATGTTACTCCCTTTACCCCTAGGCTAAGGGTTCATAACATACGTATGCATTTCTTTCATTGAGTGTCTTTTACCATGCATTTTCTCTAACAATCAGCTGAAACCTACTTTGGTGCCTGCACAGCATGAAAGCAAGTTTATGCACAAACATATTTCAAATCTCTAAAAATAATGAGGCTTTCTTTCTGCAAAGGGCTGGAAAGGCCAAGTAAAAACGAAGAATCACTATTACTGTATGAACTCAGGCACCATCCTTCAGGCTAAATTATTTTTCTGGATTTCTTGTGGACCTTTTGTACTGCTGTGTTAAAATAAAATAAAATAAACAGGCTTGTCTTTGCACCTGTCATGACATAAAGATGATAAATTATAAACTTGGCTTAAGCTGAACATCATGTGATGACACAGACTGTACTACTAATGTATGGGAGGCACAATGGGCACTGTTGGTGGCTTGAGTTCAGCTGGAGCGGCTGTGGCTCCTGAAGTAGGGCGGCTCAATTCCTGTTCTCCCCAGTCCACATGTCAAAGTGTCCTTGGGCAAGACACTGAACCCCAAGTTGCTCTCGATGGCCGGAGCAGTGCCTTTCAGGGACAGCGCCGCCATCAGTGCGTGTGAATTGGTGCTGTAAGATACTCGGCCAATAAAAGTGATTATTATTATCAAAAAGTATCACTTCCTGCGCGCAGAACAGCAAATGAAACTTTTGTTAATTACTTTAATGGTTTATGATGTGTAATAGTACAGAAACATTTACTTTAGATAATTAAAGATAATCAAACATAATGTGTTTTGTACAGTAATGTCCTGTTCTCGTCTAGCTTTTGCAACATGTAACCTCATTTGTCTTTTGTTATAAATAGGAAAATTAGCTGTGATTGCACCTCATTTGGGGTCTGGCCTTCCAACAATTGTGGAGTTCTCTCTAAAACGTTGTGAACCAGTTCTTCCCTGAGGAGCAACTGAGGATATTCTGACATGACACACTCGAGTGAGCATGTGAATGTTTGTCCTATGTGTGTCACCGAAGCCAGCGGTCCCTCCGAGCACTGACATCCCTTTAACAGAGAGCAAGGGGCTGGGGAGGGGATAGAAGAGATGGAGATGAAACTGGGTTGCCAGATCACAGGTTAATCCACTAATTGGGAGCAAAGGGAGACAGGTTGCCAGACTGTGTTGACCACCAGGAGGGTCCGTTTAAAGGGGACATCTGTTCCTGCTGGAGAACAGCCACCCTCCCTAGTTTCCTCTCCAACACTCATCTTCTTTATACACAAATGTGATAGCGAGGCTCCATCCCCTCTAGAGTTTACATCCAGCTGATGGAGATGTTCCTGTTTCCTTGACAGGATCTGGATGGAGAAGGATAAAAGCTTTGGAGGAGCTTGATTCCATGCTGTTCTTTTTAGATGGGAAATAAGTTGGTTTGCCAAGGTTGTTGTGTCAACTGAAGCCAGTTTGCAATTATGAGCAATATGTTTTATCACTTCACATGGCCCAAAGTGCCATCATTAATTTTGGCCAGGATGATATCAGCATTAGTTTAAATGGTAAACTATTCAGGAGCTGTCTCACTGAGAGCTAAATAATGTTAAAGGTGCCTTATGTGCTTTTCGAGAGCAGGTCCCAGCTTTTTTTTGTTTGTCTTAGACTGTTTTCTTACATATACCGTATGTATGAAATTTGTTTCATACAGCTGACAGTTTGTATCACTTTGGGTTATATTGTGTCATATCAACAATTTAAGAGACGTAGGTTACCTACCTAGGTTTTACACTCCCTGACACTCATCTGCACTGGAAGTAGCCTATACATTATCTGTATTCAGTTTATCTGAAGGTTCAAAGACCCAAATATGAGAAAATGGACCATGTCAACTCAGTATTAACTCCCTCTAAACCATAGTCTACACCATGCATACAGTTCAGAGGGAGAAAATGCATTTAGCGACTCATGAATGTGCATTTCTGTCATTACTCCAGCCAGAGTACAATACCTATTGTAAATATTGTGGTGTGGAATTGTCCAATATGTGACTACTCTGTTTTTATCAGAGGTAATGAATGGACCTATTAAAAAGAAAATATGATTTTTTTTATATTATTGTCAATGAAACTATCATTACATTAATTTTGAAAGTGGCATGTCAGCTGTGTGTTTATGTTTTGAGAATGGTATGTCAAAAACAAAACAATGATAATGAGCATGGGTAGCGGGCTTCTTTGTGCTTACAACAATGGACAGCACATTAATGGAACATTTAGTATGAGGAATGAGCTAGTAAATAAAAATATTAAGCTCAAAACCAGATAGAAATGTTCAGCTTTTGTGCAAAATTAAGGGGTTCCATTAGTTTTTTTTTTTTAACCCTCGACCTGTTTTGTGTTTGTTTGTATCAGGCTATGCCATCCTGCAGGCCATCATGGAGAAGGCAGGTCAAAACAACTGGCAGGTCAGTGCCATCTGTGTCGAAAGCTTCAACGATGCCAGTTACCGAAGATTACTGGAGGATCTGGACCGGAGGCAGGAGAAGCAGTTTGTTATCGACCTGGAGGCTGAGAGACTACAAAACATGCTGGAACAGGTGACGCCACCAGTGCAAAGTAATGATGGAAAAATATTTTTTTATATGTGAGTGAGAAAAAATGTGATTTAACCCTTGTGTTCTGTTAAGAATCTTAACATTTTTGCTATTTTAAAATTTACAACTCTCTAATATTACCATAAGATCAGTTTTCCATTATTTGGAATGCAAGAACATGATTCCGGAAACTGAATTTCTAGAAGCAAAGAACAGACACAAATGCTTTACACACTAACTTAGTGTTTGTTTTACTTGTGTTTTTGAGTGTGTTTGTGCTAATTAGAAAGTTTTGAACTTGAAAACAGTCTGCTGTGATCTCCAGTGGTGTCAGTTGGCATAAGCACACTCAGAATATGATGTGTTTTTTCCCCCCTCCTCCCCCTCCTCCTCCTCCCCCTCCTCCTCCTCCTGCTGCTGCAACTGCTGCTCCTGTTCAACCCTGCATCTGTCCATCTTTCCCTGGGGCAACTGGTGTCTCTGTAATTGTTCAATTATTCAGCAAATCTCCACTCTGACATCTGTCATAGTTCTACAATTTACTCTGCAAATGTGTGTGTATGGCTGTGTGAGTCTCTTGCCCACAGAGCAGCAGAAGTCCTACTCCATACTTGCTTGATGCCACTTCATAGAACATTTCACAAGCAGACATGATGGATTCTGTCATATTGTATATACAGAGCTTGTGGGATGATGCAGTGTTTTGAGCAACAGTGGGCAGAGTTACTACCAAAGACATAAACATTTAGTTTGTCCTGTATTAATTCCAGCTATCATCCTACTCATCTTTACATTGTGCCAAATTATCTTGATCCAGGACAAAGGTTTTACTGAATAATTAGCTTTTTTTTTTTTAGCTGCATATCAACAGTGCTGTCAGAACATATTAAGCTTTAAAAACACCCAGATGTTCCTTTGAATGTCAGAGCATGAAATCCCTGAATGCAAACCTGTTTCATTTACAGATGGGAAGGTAATTTGCAGGCAGCTAATTTGCAAGTTGTACAAACTGTGCCATAGCTTCAAAATTAACAAAGGAATGAAAACTCTTTTGGTTTAAAGTTAAAATAAAATGTCTAAGAGATGTCAGAGTGAACAACATTGCACCAAAAGGCACTGTACAGCACATACATCTTGTTACATAAATGTATTTACAATTTAACTTGTTGGCGTCATGCCTGAATAAGTCCTCCAGACTAAATGACCACATAGGCTGTGATGGCCCATAGGAGTGTTTCATGAATTAATGCCCCGGGGCCGGCATGCATACACTAATAATAATATAATCACCTTTATTTGGCCAAGCATGTTACACAAAGGAATTTGTTTCCAGTACAGATCCGAAGCAGCCATCTGCCAACTCAAACCAATAGCTCTAACCATCAGGGGCAACTTGGGGGTTCAGTGTCTTGCCCAAGGGCGACACGTGGACTGCAGGTACTGAGATTTGAACCTCCCACCCTCTGGTTGGGAGACGACTGCTCTACCCACTGAGCCACAGTCGCCCCAGCTTTCCGTCATGGTTACAGATATTCATGTGCAGTTAAGGTTATGGGACAGTCATGATTTGGTCTAGGTTTAGGGGGAGAGCATGGTTTGGGTTAAAATACTGGGTCTTCATTATCAAGAAACATGATTGTTATGAAAGGGGAAACAAACAGCAACAACATCTGTGTCAAAATCCAATGTTTTGTGGACCTACTGGACACCATCCACCCTCCTCCCTATACTTTGTTGTTCCATAGCAGCGTCACCGAACTTTGCTCCTGTCGTAATGGAGTTTGATATTTAATTTTATAAATATGGTTTGAGCACATATTTAAATTTTGTGTCCACTAATGAAAACAAATCAGTCGAAACAGGTTTATTCATATCCTAATCACATGGGGTGTCAGCCTCCCAGAGATGCAATGTTTGTACAAGGTTCTCAGCATTCCCCACAGACATCAGTAATTTAATACACCATGGTACTGTCGATTCATTGCTCAGCCTGAGTAATTAATGTAAATGTGAAGGTATCGTGGCAGTGTATGAAACAGGCTGTGCATCGGTATTCTTAGCAGCCATTTAACTTGCCTTCTAACAATCACTTTGCCAAGGATATCCGGAAAAGTTCATCTTGTTTAACCCAATCCATTTATTTCTTTTGCCTTTGCCAAATAACTTAGCTAACTTTGGTTATTAGGTCGGTTTACCTTGTTGTCATATCCCATATCTCCTGAATGAATTGGCCTGCTGCTACACATATACTGTAAGTACTTGCACTCTGTTAGACTGCTAAATGGTGATGATTCGTCCATTGGCACGATTGGAAAACACAGGTTGTGGTGGTTTTGTTTCATTGTGAATACTAATGAACCATGTGAAAATTCAGCAGGTGCACTCATAATTCAGCAGGGGTGGTGTGTGACGTGCAGAGGAAAACATGTTTTTAAAATTGTTTATTTTCTCAGTTTCAAGACACTATGCTCAGCACAAGAACTAAAACTGTAGTGCCCTACCTTATCCCAAGGTAAACTACTTTGGACTAAATAAACAACTGAAGCTTTGAGCTAATTAAATTATTTTCAGCCTCACAGTAGTGTGGGTTGGGTTATTAATGCTCCTATAGGTCCATATTTTCATTAAGCTCAATATAATGAATATATTTGTATTTTTTCACTTTATATTTGCAGCTGTGATTGTTCACTAACAACAGTTTCACAACCTGATGCTCAGGTCTTGACAGCAGTGTAGCTGTTGGGGAATTGCTAGAGTCCAGGTTTTTGTCCAGTGGGACTTCACAGCAGGTGTCAGCTTTCAAAATTTGTTTTTATCACCATTGTGTGATTATCTGTGATTGTATTTGTGTGTGTTGTGTATGAGGTGTCAAAAAGCACTGACATGTTTCTGAAAGCTTGAAGTGTTTACTTCCTCAGTGAGACGCTGACATGACTGCCTGTTCATTAGTTTAGACACTTGATCTTCTACAAATTAAACTTGACGATCCCTCTATGTCATGATGTTCGCTCCTGTCTGTCATATGCACCATTAAAAGTAATTAGCGTGTGCCATACTGGAATCCAGTCAGGCTAATGTTGAGTTCTGCTCTGCCTCCTCACAGATTGTCAGTGTCGGGAAACATGTCAAAGGCTACCATTACATCATGGCCAACCTGGTGAGGGCAATGACACTTCTTCTCATGGTGCCTTTGTTCATTTGCCTTGTTCTTTCCTCTCATGCAATCTATTTCACGTATCCCTTTTGCCTTCACATATGTGCTTACTACAGTCTCTCTTTAATTTCAGTAAATTTGGTCAGTGTTGTAGTATTGGTTGTCTGTGTCCCAGAGTTTATAGTATAGCATTATGTAAATTTCTCTCTTTGAAATTTCCAGAAGGTCATTTTAAGTTAAGCTAGTTCAAAATCCTGATATTTTTTTTCAAGTTTACAAATTCATATTGAAAATTCAAGCATGGAAGTAATTAATCAAAACGTCTTTTTCTTGGGTTTAATGACTGAATGAACTTAACCTGACTGAAGCTCCACTTCACTCAGAAATATGTTTTGCGTATTGTTATTTCACTTGGATGTTTGACCTTTACAGTGCAGAATGATGTATTCACAATTATCTGCTGATGGGGAAACGTTTCTCTGTCCTCGCCTTAAATCTGAGTTTTACATGTGTACATTTCAGCAGCTTTTGTGCAAACTTGAAATCTCAGTGCACTACACTGAGAATGGAGTTCTCAGTTAATTAGGAGACAATTAATTTGAATAAAAAATCATTTTTAATCAGGTACTTTACAGGTACAGGACTTTATTAAACACATTATTATAGACACAAATGTCAGTTTCTTTAGGAACCACTCAACTCAACTCAACTCAACTTTATTTATATAGCGCTTTACTACAGCGCAGCTGACCAAAGCACTTAACATATTGTACAAAATATAAAAAAAACAACACTAAAAAGCTATAAACAGTAATATAAACACTAACACTAACACTACAGACAGAGTCTCAGTCCTGGTCAAACGCCAATGAATACAAGTATGTCTTCAAATAAGACTTAAAAGTAGACAGGGAGGGGGCCTGCCTAATATAAAGCGGCAACGCATTCCATAGGTTTGGACCTACCACAGCAAAGGCTCTATCCCCCCTAGTTTTCCGCCTGGCCCTCGGTGCCTCCAGAAGAAGCTGATCTGCTGATCTGAGGCACCGCGACGGGTTATACGGACGTAAAAGTTCCATCAGATAAGATGGTGCCAGCCCATTTAAGGATTTATAAACAAATAAAAGAATCTTAAAACGAACCCTAAAACGCACCGGAAGCCGGTGGAGAGAAGCCAGCACTCATAAAAATACTTTCGGTACATGATCAGGAACTTGACTTTTTATCCATAAAAACTACTGAGGAACTTTCCTCATCATGCATTTCATCCCGTGCAGGTCCCCTGCCCTCACAAATGTGACTGTGAATACATCACAGTCTCTGTCTGCAAGTCCATAGAATGGGTGTTTGGATTTAATCCGTTTTACCAGTGGGTTGCTTCCTCACTCACCCACTGGCGTGGTGTTGGGAAGCACTGATCTATGAGCATAGACTGCTGTAATGTTCAGCTGCATGTGACTGCCTTCCAGAAACAATATGTAGTATGATGGTCCTGGACCACGACTGAAAAGCATTTATACCCAGTTTCACCAACTTATTCACCTGTTAGTATCAAGTTATGTGTCAGGGTCAGCCAGTAAAGCTACCCACAATGTTAACAGTGGACTCAATTACAAAGCCAGGCGAGATGGGGTAAAGAATATTGCTTTACTGTATTCACTCAGACAATACACAGTGATAGTCCAGAATCCAATATCCACGTCAAACAACAGTCCAGGGTCAATACCGGCAAACAAGCACAGCCAAGGGATCCAAAAACGGGAGGTCAAGAAGCTGGTCCAGTAGTCGGTACACAGAAGAAACATTCAACACTCAGGAGGGCTAGGCAGAAATCGGTAGTCAGGAAACAATCCGGGGTCAAGAACATGAATCACTAAAGCAAGGATAACGCTGGAAAGTCTGCACGAAAACAAGAACAATCTGGCAGGTTACTGATGGGAGAAGGCTGCTTATAATGGGGTGAAACCAGGTGCAGGCATTTAGCACTGATTACTGTAAAGAAACCATAACAGATAAACCTAGAACAGGAAATGGCGACAAAATAGGAGCCTAAAACAGGAAGCGGTAGGACAGAACCCTGACAGTTATGTAATGAAATCAAATCATCAATGCAATTTACAGTTGTTAAGGAACTCTTTCATTGCATGTCCTGCCATTTACTTGATTCGTTTTCCATCTCT